CGTCACAGCACAGCCACAGCAGCGGCCCTCAGGCGGCCTCGGCACTGACGGACCTCGTGGCACGCGTCGTCGGCGCCGCGTTCTTCCTCAAGGACGAGTACTTCGACCGCATGGTCCTCGAGCGGCGAATCCAAACCAGCGGCCGCGCGGACCGACCGCCTCTCGACGCACAGCCCACGTCGCCCACGGAGGAGAGGTACGGCGCGGCGGTCCTCCGCCGCGCGCGGGGCCTCGCGCGCGGACACCTCTGCACACAGTCCGGATCGATCCAATTCGACCGCGCAATGATGCGCGTGATCGAGGATCTCCTTGCCGGCGCGCTTCGAACGGCCGGGCTAAATAAATCCCTGAAGGGGGGACGCCCAAAATGCCCCACTTCCCCACCCTCCCCTTCTGTGCGGCCGCAATTAGGCCCGGGATCGTCGTATTTGATGCCTGATGAGATGCTCTGTGCAGAGGATGTGTGGAGTGGGGATATTGTGTTTATTAAACGGCCTACACGGTATTACTGCGTGCGTTCTGCTACCTGTATGGATGGTGGGGATGATGATACCGTCCCGGTAGCCCTGCCGAACGGGCTGATCGTCTGCGAGGATGAGCTCCCCAAGTCCACGCGAAACGATAGTGAAGGAAAGATTAAGGAGTCCACAATAGCAATGGTGGCTTCCGCGCGGCGAAGAGCGAATCACCTTTTTTCACCGAAGACATATATTAATCCAGGAGCCGTACGTCGTATCTTTATAACATAAACTGAAATAAAAAGGTAGGAAAGGAAGGTGCTTTATCTGTACAACGTGTGTTAAAGGATATCTCTATTTTTCCTATTTTTTTTACCGTGTTGTGCGTTGATCATAGATGCCGAAAAGGGAAGAAATCTCTTTTTTGGAACATGAAAATAAAAGAACGAACCTAAATCATCCCTGCTCGGTTATTTTTTGTTTTCCTTGCTACTTTACCTTTTTACTTGTCATCCCTGCATGTTTTCTTCCTTAGTTGTGTTATTTACCCCGTAGAAAATGATTTATTTACATCAAATGTCAACTTGCAAAAAGTATAAACGTATGTGATGTACTGATTTTTTTTGTTCATTCAATTTATTTCTAAAAATGATCTCTACATACTGTCATTATGTCTTATCTGCTTGTATATAACGTTCTTCATGAAGTACCAAAGATTATATTCCTATACCTTCTTTCAATATTATATTTGAAAAAGTCCTTTAAAATCTAGAAAAGGAGGAAGTAGCAGAGCAAAACAGAATCCATTTCGTGATACAATTTACTTGAAGTTTCCAGAGAAGCTTGAGTGGGAAAAACGTAATTTTAAAATACACGAAAATTTTTCGTGCTACACATTTATGATTATTTAAAGTCGTTTTCTTTTAAGTAATCTTTGCGATTCTGTGAAGAACACTACGCAGAGTTGCCAACGCTAGAATTTAGATGAACTTGAGCTTTGTCTTGTTGGAATCCATAGTAGAAGGGCCTTTGCTCCACCGAGGCTCCTGCGATGTTCTCCAGCAAGCCATATTAACGCACGCCTGCTATGTTATTCTTGCCCTCCGCTATTTATCTGAGAATAGCTCATCCGCGTCCCCTTTCGCTCGAGAGAATGAGTTGACTTCAACTCCCACCGATTCCTATTGTAGTTCTTCTATTCAAAACCGACTTTTCAGTAGGAAACGTGCTCATTCTTCTACTATGGATGTAGTCGATACAAATAATCTTGATGGTAAAATGGTCTCAAGCTCTTTTGAAGATGTAAATTTAGGAATCATAAGCATAATGCCCGATGTATCACACTCTCGTGTAGCTGCAGCTCCTCCAATGCATGGCATGGCGAGTAAGTTTTCTTTCTTCACCTCGCCGGCGAGCGCGAGGGATTACTTGAGATCTGCTCCCAGGTATAGCATCCTAACCGCCGCTCACTTTCTTCGTTGTGGTTCAAGGCCTTATCAACATTGTCAGCACAAAAAAGGCGCTTTGGCTGCTTATGTGGGACGTTTAATAAGTCAAGAAGTGCCATGGTGTGCAAGCGCGCTTGCGCAGCTTGGTCAATGGATCCTCCACGGGTGGAAAAATGGAGAGATAGAAGACGACTTCAATGATATCCTCTGTAAGGTTCCCTTATCAGTTGAAAACCTTCTCCGTTTTGCGGTGGATGTGAGCCCTGGGGTGCATACAGTATCCAGCATCGCTACCGGTTCTGAAAAGGACCCACGGAATGGCAGCCGTTCGGTGTTCGTTTCTGAACTGTTCCTCCAGGTTTACCCAGAACTAGGTTATGCAACCTTAAAGGGGGAGAAGAATGGTAGCTATATAGAGCTTTCAACGATTAAAAACACTAATGTAAACTCGGATTTTTCCTGCGGCTGCCCTCACCGCTGGATGCGGGAGACGCTGCCTCGTTGGTTGTTGGGTACTTCGCTGATTGAGCACGCGACGATTTGGCGCGAATCCACCCTTTTAAAACAATCCTTTCACCGTTGGCGTCTCCGTCGAGGGTTTGGCATGCTGCGGAAACTTATAGCTGGGAACTATGACAAGATAATGACAGTCGGTAGCGAGGCCAAAGCCACAACGAATGGGCTCAACGAGATGCTCATTTCAATACCCCCGCAATACCCTCTTGATAGCCGGCCCAAACCTCACTCTTTGGCTTTCACACCCCTCAACGCGAACGGCGATAAAGCTGAGAGAGACTTGGATGAGGTCGGCTCTACGGATCCATTTAATGCAGATGCGAAAGAACGAGAGAGCACCGTTTCCACGGCCGACGCACCCTCCTCAATTGCGAATCGTTCAATCCCATCCCTCCCAAGCGCCTTTACCTCACAGCCACTAACTCGTCAGCCGTCGATCTCCCCCTCTGCAGAAGCCTCACGCGCAGATGACGCCCCTTTCTCCCCCGACCCCCCATCGGGCGTTGGAGATATTTCAGGTGCGGCC